GTAAGGCGGGCACGGAGAGGGACAAACCCGGGGACGGAGAGGGACAAACCCGGGGACGGAGAGGGACGAACCCGGGGACGGAGAGGGACGAACCCGGGGACGGAGAGGGACAAACCCGGGGAGGCAAAGTGGAGAACCGGGGGAGAAGAGATGAGACCCGGGGACGGAGAGTGGAGACCCGGGGAGAGAGAGAGGACAAACCCCGGAGAGGGAGAGGGGAGAGCCGAGGGAGAAGTGTGGGAACTAGAACTAGGGATGTCAGAGAGGGGAGACCCGGGCGGAGAGACCCGGGGACAGGCAGAGGCAGACCCGGGGAGAGGCAGAGCAGACCCGGGGAGAGGCAGAGGCAGACCCGGGGAGAGGCAGAGGCAGACCCGGGGACAGGCAGAGGCAGACCCGGGGAGAGGCAGAGGCAGACCCGGGAGAGGCAGAGGCAGACCCGGGGAGAGGCAGAGGCAGACCCGGGGAGAGGCAGAGGCAGACCCGTGGAGGAGGGTGGGGACCCGGGGAGCCGGAGGGGGAAGAGCCCCAAAAGTCCCAGTGCGTAAATCTGCGTAAAGACGAGAGCGAAGAGCGAAGGGTTTGGTTTTTGGAGCATTGTTTTTTGTGCATTGATTAGTTCTGCGTGTTCTCTGAGTGTTCTGCGTGTTCTCTGAGTGTTCTGCGTGTTCTCTGAGTGTTCTGCGTGTTCTCTGAGTGTTCTGCGTGTTCTCTGAGTGTTCTGCGTGTTCTCTGAGTGTTCTGCGTGTTCTCTGAGTGTTCTGCTGAATATTCTGAATGTTCTGAAAAGTTTCGGTGAAGTTTTACTCAGACGGTTTATAAAGAATTATTTTGTAATTACGGCTTTTTTGATTCATTGCGTCTGCACCAGAACCGCTGCGTTTGTCCGAACTCTTACTCCTGTAGAAGTACTACAAGTACTGTGTATACTGTAGAAGTACTGTGTATACTGTAGAAGTACTTCTGATGGGTCCAGTCCTGGTTTCACCACATTCCAGTTTGGGTTGAGATCTGGTTTGGTTCTTTTAGTCCTGGTTTAGTCCTGGTTTAGTCCTGGTTCTGTCCAAGTTTAGACCTGGTTTAGTCCTGGTTTAGTCCTGGTTCTGTCCAAGTTTAGACCTGGTTTAGTTCTCTTTTAATCCTGTTTAGTTTTGGTTTAGTTTTAGTTTTATCCCGGCACCGCCCTGGTTCAGTCCTGCTTTATTCATAGTTTAGACCTGGTTTAATCCTAGTGTCCTAACCAGGACTAAACCAGGACTAAAGCAGGACTAAAGCAGGACTAAACCAGGACTGAACCAGGACTAAATGTGTGTCTGATCTTCTTGAGTCCAATCTTCTCCTGGGCTTTGGACCTGTTCTGGTCTAAATATACGGCACAGAGATAAGACGTGACAGAGCGGTTGGCCCCTGGCCTCACAGCAGCAGGGTCCCCGGTTCAGTCCTCGGTTCAATCCCTGGTTCAGTCCTGGTTCAGTCCTGGTTCAGTCCTGGTTCAATCAGTCCTGGTTCAGTCCTGGTTTAGTCCTGGTTTAGTCCTGGTTTAGTCCTGGTCTAGTCCTGGTCTAGTCCTGGTTCAGTCTGTGTCTGTGGGTTCGATCTTTTCTCGACGGGTTAAAGCTCCTCTGTGAAACCTTTTCTTGTGGAGGTTGTTTGTCTCCATGGAGATGTTACTGCCTTGGCTGGAATGTTCCACACTGTGGCTTTAATCTTGTGCAGTTTTTGTGCAGGAGGGAAACATCCGTTCTCCACAGATCTGACCTGTACCTGCCTGTCTCCACAGACTCACATACAGCGTCTTTAATGCTGCACTGTGTGATATTCTGCTCAAAGCAATTATAAAAACATCTCCATGGAAACAGGCAGAGAAAAGTTACACAGTGCAGCTTTAACCCAGAGACTCTGTCGGACGATGAATCATTTTACCTTTAAAACTAAAACTTTTCTCTTTAGTTCAGTCGAGATTTTGGTGACTCCACGACTGAAATGCTCCAGGTGATTCTAGTGAAAGTGTGTGGAGTTTAAAAACACAGTGGAGCACTTCCTGTACCACCACATGATGACATCACGAGGTGGAACAGAGTGTTTTTAGTTTTCTGAGAGAAGAGCTCGTGTTAAATGTGCTCGTTTGTGAGTTAAACATGTGAACGAAATGAAACACAACTCCAGGAAAATATCGATATATCGTTTGGTTTAATGTGATGATTCAGTATCGATATCGTGGGCTGTTGTATCGATACATCACCAAGAGGATTTTTTGGTTTATTTTAGTAAATGATTTTGTTCCAGCTCCAGTTTTGTTGTTTTGTTCAGAGGAAGGAAACTCGTTTATGCGACACATTTGACATTTTCACTGTTTTAATGATTAAAATGTTTGTGTTTTTCAAATTAACTTTTGGACAAGAAATTATTTAACAAAGAGCTTAGATTTAATCTTTATTTTTTATTAAACCGTATCGAACTGAATCAAATTGTATCAAAATATGTCCTATCAAACTGTATCAATTCAGACTGAAATATGTCATATTGAACCGAATCAAATCAAATCAAAAAACACCGTATTGAATCATATTGAATCGATCTGAAATAAACTACAGGTCAAAAGTTTTTGAACACCACATTTTTTCCACTTTTTTATTGTTTACTGTTTCCTGTTTGTATGGAAAATAATTTGTTTCATCAGATTTTGAATTTTAAACGCTGTTGAATTTCTCATTTTGAATTTTTAAACTCTGAAAAAACATTTTTAGTTAATTTTAGTTAATTTTACTTTGCTGAAAGTTTAAGTGTACATTTTCAAAGTGTTTAAAATTCAATATTAAAAAATCACTTTTATACCTTAATATTCAGCACAAATATTTTCAAATCCTCTAATTCAACAGTCAAAATTCAGAGTGTAAAATTCACAGTGAAAAAAATTCACAGTAAAGATCCACGATGCCGAGGCAGAAGCAATCGATCCAAAATGATCCGATGTGACTTAGTAAGAAACAAGAAATGTTGCAGTGACGCGATCTGATTGGTCAAAATCAGCCTCATCGAAAACCTCATCTCTTTGATTGGTTAAGTGTAAACCCCGCCCACAGATGAGAACAGCCAATAGGAAACAGCCTCTGTCCTCCTCGCTCACATGATCGATTGCTTCTGCCTTGGCGTCTTGGATTTTTGCTGTGAAATTTTTCACTGCGAATTTTACGGTCTGAATTTCGACTGCTGAATTTGAGGGATTGAAAATATCTGTGGTGATTTTTAAAATTTTGAATTTAAAACACATTATACACAAGTAAACTTCAAATTTCAGCAACTTAAATTCAGAATAAAAAATATTCAAACATCTTTTTTCAGAGTTAAAAAAATTCAAAGTGAGAAATTCAGTCGTATTTAAAATTCAAAATCTGATGGAACAAATGATCTTCCGTATGTTTGACCAAAACATATTCTAAACTTTCGATCGACGTGTGTGTCGACGTTTGTCAGATAGAACAGCTGAACTCACTCGTGACTCGTTCTTTTTACAAAACAAATCAAATATTGTTGAGAAAGTTCTTCCCGTGTCTGTAGCAGAAGTTTCATAAATGTGTGACACTTGTCGGTTGCTTCACTCTTCAGTCTTCAGCTCGATGGGTTTAAGTCTGGACTCTGAGCTGCTGCTCCAGGTTTTCAAACTTTACCGTCTTGTTCTTTTTTCCTGAGGTGGTTTTGTCACAGCGTCGACTTGAGTTTTGTTCTTTTATCTTTTTTTTTTTTTTTTTACTTCTGTCTGTTCACTTCTTTCCTTTGGACCATTTCAAGCGACTCATTGGACTAAAACGACTTGAAGTTCAATAAATAACTGGAACAATGAGGATGTTGTGAAACTTTTGACCGATAGTGTTTATCGTTTTGAACCGTATCGAATCGTAAGTTCGCTGTATCGTATCATATCGGCAACTTCTGAATGATTCAAACCCTGATCAGAAGAGATCAGAAAGTCGTCGAATATGAGACTTTTAATCGTTTTGTTAAAGGTTTTCCAAACGTTCTGAGTTGAAGGTTGAAAGGTTGAAACTTGAAAGCACATGAGCTTCAAAAGTTTGTGAATTATTGAATTTTCAGACCAGTTTTAGACGTGTGATTTAGATTTTGATCCAGATTCAGTGAACATCAAACCTCCCAGGAGCGTCACATTAGAGAGAAGCACAAATCCAAATTTTAAAACTCAAAAACCACAATTTGGATTAATTGTAAATAAATGAAAAGCACAGTTTGAGTGGATGTAAGGAGCAGATCGCACATTTGTGAAGTAAAGCGTCTGAGTCTGGAGTTTTGATCTGTACAAACACGTCCTGAAATGTGATTCTTGTTTTAGTTTGTCGATTCTTCTGTTTAAAATGTGAACTTTTATCCAGAGTGAGACTTTAAGGACGCACAGCGAGGACGTGCAGGTTTCTTTAGGGCAGTAACTTTTGCACTTTTTGTCTCTCCACTCGACATTTTTCTGTCTCTCCTTCTGGTTTCACTTCTGTTTTTGTTCCCGGACGATGGACAAAAGTCACCGAGACAAAAGCTTTGAGCGATTCGAGACGTTTCAATCTGAGGCAAAGAGGAAATCCCCAAAATAACTCTTAAAGTGTTAAAAACATGAGGCAGATTCTCATGTTTATTTAATTGTGACTTGGTTTTGGTGGCGAGTCCCTGAGCTTAATATTTATCACAGTTTTACATCAGTTCAGCAAAAAAAGTTGAAAATAAAAATGCAAAACTCCAGGAAGCAGAACTGTTTGTAAAACCAAATCCCTCTGATTATGTTATCGAGAGGAAAACTCAAAACACAAAGACGGTTTAGACCAAAAGAAGGACGTTTTTCTGACATTTTAAAGCTTCATGTCACTAAATAAAACTGAACTCTTTTATTTTTATGAGTCTGATCAGTGAAATCCCTCAGTCAGAATCTACAGCAAAGGAGAAATTCAATTTATCAACTGAACCAACACAGAGAGAACAACACAGGACCTGAGTCTGCT